CAGGCCGGGCCCTGTTCCTGGCCTGGAGGCCGCGGGGCGGAGTGGCGGGTACGCAGCTGTTGCAGGCGCCGCTGCGCCGGCGGTTGGGGTTTTCTTCCCACTGACAGGTGAATTGTGCGTGGCCAGGGAGGGCTTGCCCCTCCGGCGGTATCTTGGGGAGCGGAGACGTGGCCCTGTTGGTGCGGTCGGGTGGAGGAAAGCCTTAGGAAAGAACCGGCTTTTGGAAATGCCAGTTAGAACGTACGTTATAACATTTACTAGCACGCACATCTTACTGAAGGAGCGTGTGATAGATTTTTAGTCCAACATTTTTTTAAAAAGTGTAATGACTTGTTGACATCTCTTAACTTTAAGATAACACAAAGGAGGCCTTGATGAAAATGGATTAGGTACCACAGCTAGCTGTTGTTTGGCCTTTGCTACCAGTTCCATTTCAAATTACATCATTAGTCATGTGCTGATAGGCAAGCAGTTGGTAGTTTGAGACCACCGGCGTGCTGCTGTCATTCACGGTGCGTGCAGGGACTGTCCTGCCAAGGAGCCCCAGTCCAAGCAGCATAAGCTGCAGAACAGAGGCCGTGCACTGAGTTCTAATGTTGTTTAAATCTTCTGTGTTTTGTCCCAACGTTCGAATGAAGACAGTAGTCTTGTGCAAAGTATAGAGTGTTTTATCCAGGTGATGAGTTAGTGGCACGCCATGGGTCAAGCCTGCCACACTTTCTTTCTCGATCTTCTGGTTTGTGTGTGTGTTTGTGATCCCATTTTTTCTTATGCAAAATTGGCATCTGGCTGGTCTGAGGGTTATGCCACACTTTGTTTTTAGGGTAAGTAGCCCAGGGAGGGACAGACAGAGAAATAGATGGAGAGGGGGGGTTTGGGGATCTTGTGCTCCTAAAAGGTGTAGAATTGTAATAAGGGAGAAGGAGTGACCTGAAGAATCCCTGCATATTTCACTCTGAGAAGACGGTCTAATCCTTCAACAGCTTTTTTGTTTTTACTGCTTGTAAAGAAAAAATGTCTTTGGCAAGAAGTAAAAGACACTTGGAAGCTGGAGGAAACTATTAAAGAGAAAAACCAGAAGCTAGTACATGTATTTACTAGAAAATAAATAACAGGAGAGGCAACAGAAATGCAGTAAGTAACAGGAAGAGCAGTTACCATATGTGAAAACAATAATATTGAAGAAGCTAGAGAAAGGGGAACAACACAGAGATGTTAAATTTTAAAAGCATCACTGTTCACTGTATTTAAGGGAGCATAATGGTTGAGTTACACCTGTATATAATTTTGAGCAGACTGGCTTCTTGAGATAGGTAATGAGCTGCTAATATAGATGTAGTTTTGTTTAGGAAGCTAGAAGAGAGTAACAGTGCCAGCCATTGTAATTACATTATGACAGATCCTCTGACAAGACTCTTGTATCAATGAGCATAGTTGCCCATTTGTTATACACATTAAAAAAAAGGAGTAGATAAAACTGCTTAAGATTTTCCTGTCAGCTTTGATGTACTGAAGGGTAGTAGTAGTTCTTCATGGATGTGACTGCAGGTCTGTCCCCTTTCTGGTCTCTGAGTCCAGTTCTTGAGGTAAGTAGCGTACTGCTTGTAGGTGTCTTAGGCTGAAATGTTGTTCTCCTGTCCCTAGAGCACAGGATCTGGCAGCAGGGTCCCATGTGCACTAATTGCTTTTCAGGTCAGAGCACGTGGAAACTGCTTTTCTCGTGTCATTTAGCACAGCTTTTTAGAAATCCAATACATAAATTACATAAGGGGATATAGATCAATAAACCTTACTGAATGGTGTGTGTCTATCGCCATTATAAAAAGAGGGCAGGCTTGCAGGGATGCTACAAATGTTGGAGGCCATTTCTACCATGTAGAACAAATATACTGGGTTAGACCAAAGGGTCTGGCCGAGACCATTCATCGGATCTCTGAAAAGCCCATAACTGACAGTTAGAAAGAGGTTTTCCTCCTGCACAATATTCTCTGCAAGCTTCTGTCAGTCTACTGCCTTGACAGATTCGGTTGTATTTTGAATGGTTCTCATGGTTTTAGCACAGCTACCCAAAAAGTGAAATGTCATTGCTATGTTTTGTGTCATGACTTCTATTTTATATATCTCTCATTCATTACAGCTGGAAAAATTTCCAAATTATTGTGAAGTCTGAAAGCAAAGGTCATAAATTTCAGTGCTCTAAATGGGAGATGGTGGATGTTGTGGCAAACTGAAATAGGAGGACCTTTGAGACCTGGTGGTTTTCAGCATGAATCTTAGGGCAAGGTTTGCACTAGTGCAATCGTAGGATGAGGATAACTTTTGGAAAGAGGTCAGTGCTCTAGAATTTACGCTGTATTATTTGCCCTATGTTGATGTTGAAGAATAACTTGTCTCTGACATTGCATGCTCAATTGGCAGCTAGGGAATTGCAGCAGAAAATGGGAGATGACAATTATCATCTTCATGGGGGTTACAGCACCTGTAATTGTCCAAAAAGACAGTTCATGTGTCTTTATACCTAAATGCAGTGGGTTTAGAAGTACTTAAAAATTAAATCATAAAAGAAGGGGAAAAAGGGCCTTTCAGAAGCTATACTGAAAAATACTGCACTGAGAAAATAAAAATAGGCCTGAATGTTGCCATCCTAGCTAAAAATTATGAATTCTGTTTTTTTAATTTGAGATAATATGTTCTTTTCCTCCTCTTACCCATTTCACATACATCCTTAGGGTCTCAAATCTGTTTTGGACTGCTTCTCTGCCTGCAGAGGCTTTCAGTACCCTGAAGACATTTCACTTCTGTCAGCTACAGTGAGAACCCTTCCTGGAAACATTTGCATTGCTGGAAGGCAAAAGCCAGTTGGAAAAGCGATCAGCACCTGCAGCAGTAGTACTGATGTTACAGGTGGACATAGTGAAACATCAAAACCAGGCTCACTTCTGTTACTTAAGCTTTGTGGGAATGAAGAATGTGGACTACTGGTATATGACCGAACCACTTAATACAAAATTTGCCTAGAAATATTAGCACAATTTAAAAATCTTAGATGGGAATGAGGGCATCTCTTTTACTCCCTAGCAATTCACTCAAGTGACTCTATAGAAAGCGTGATCACAAACCATGCAGGTGTGACTCTTTTTAAAGTTGCATGTGACTACTTTAGGATTGAGTTTGATCCCATTGCTAGTTACATGGGTGGATTTGGTTTTTTTGTTCTTCCCGAGGCTACAAGCACAAACCTCACAGGATTGTTGAGAGGATCTCATTGTATGAGATTTTTGTGTTAGATCCTCTTTGGTTAAGCATTCTGAAGTTGTTTTGTATGTATCCTCAAAGGAGGCATTTGCTTATGTTTGAACTTTCCAGCACCGCGTTCTGGCCCTTAGGTGTCTTACCTCTCCAGCAACAACTGAGACAATGGCGCTTTATTTTTGCAGGATAAATATTCAAGCCTGAGGAATCTCAGGTTTGGGTAGGTAGGCAGTGATGTTTGCTCTTAAGGTTTTGTTGGGTTTTTTATTAAAGTTATGGAAGCTTAAGCTTTGCAGTGGAGCTTTCACAGATATTTGGTGTCAGCCTCAGTGCTTGCCTGTGGGCATTGCCCATCAGAAGTTGGGTGAAAGATGTAGCTTAAAATTTTACATTTCTCTTAATGGCTGGGGACTTAAATATTTGTTGTAATTGGTTTCCTTATACTGCATCTTAACTTTTAATCATAAAAAATAATTTATTAGGATTATAGTTTATAAAAATCCAAGTAAGAAGTACTCAGAGTATTCCAACAACCTTACGAACTGTAAGGTAGGGCAGACACCGCTTGTTTGTAATACTGTACAGTATCCTTATCCTCATCCTCACTCTGCTTGGATTCAGTGAGTACCTGCGATTTCTTTGCACATTAAATCTCTGGTCTTAGTCGTTTGGGTAACCCTTCCTGCACTCCTGGGGAAGTCCTGTCGTTAGGGCTTACCTGCAGGGATGCAGCTACAGACAGTAGGCTGCAAGGAAACCCTCTTCACTGTTTGTAGGGATAGTACTTAGCATGATGGAAATAGAAATCTTCCAGTACTTACGGTTGATGCTTTGCTGGCAATAAAAGTGACAAGTTAACCCCACTTTAATATAGTTAAATATTTTGTCAGGTTAAGCTTAGTGTTCTGGCTTGGTAGCTTCCAGCCTGTAATTCATGTAGACCGGGCAGTGGAGTAGTCCATATTACATGTCATGAGCTGACTTGGGATAACTAAGAATACTATTAATGTTGCAGATTGGTTGATCTGCTGACTAGCTACCACTGAAAGGGGAGCTTTCTTCATTCTCCTTTCCTTTCCTTAGTGAGCCATCTCACTAAGTTGAAAAATAAACTGCACGTTAAAAAAAGTCAGGGGTTTTGCTGTTCTGTCTGCCTGAGCAGTCAGATAGACAGTGCTATTGCCAGCACAAGGAGGGGACTGGGAATGTGTACATAGGGGTGGAGGAGGAGTGAAGCCTCCCTTTGATAGCAGCCAGCAGTTGCATTGCCTCAGCCTTAACATTGGTTAAAAATCCAGCCAAAAGGATAAAAACTAAGAAATTAAATCTACTGCTATGTTTTATGGCACACATGCATATTAGAGTTTTGTCATTTTGGTTATGGAAAGTGTTTTTCTAAACTGGAACAAAAATAATTAAGGTGTCAATTTTTCCTCTTTCAAACAGGCAGCAACAACTTTATATGGCTCACGTCTGACAACATGCACCACCAGTGGCTGCTGCTAGCTGCATGCTTTTGGGTGATATTCATGTTCATGGTTGCTAGCAAGTTTATCACACTGACTTTTAAAGACCCAGATGGTAAGTTCAACTTTAATGTTTGATATGAAACAGAAAATTGAATAGTGCTTCACACAAACGTTCTTTCTGTACAAACTACTTCTTGGCATGTTGACCTTCACTAGGATTGAGAACAGAACAAATACATTTCTACAAGTGACAGTGCTGATGTTCAGTTTCTGCTTTTCTTGGTAGTCTGCAAGACTAACATACTGTCTTTTTTTTTGGTGGCTAAGAACCGAGGGGGTCATGGTTGACAGTACTATCTTGTGAGGTTCGCTTTTTCAAATACACTCAGTTTCAGTATCAATCTACTGGGAGTAGAAGTTACGTGCAGAACAACAGAGCACAATTACCTGTTTAAAGACAAAGGATATTCACAAGGAATTAAAGAGTTCGTTTCACACGATACTAGTTTCCGTGCTTTCATGACTGCTTGTCCTGTGGCTGCAGTATTATGTAAAACTTCTGGAAAGTTTTATTTCTCTTGCAATGCACTTAGACTAGCCAACTCTGCCCTGCTTCTTGCATTCAGATTTATCCTCTGCTGTTTGACTGACAAACAGCTTATAGGCTTTTCTTATAGGCTTTTGCTTAGCCTAAGTAGCCCAGATGGTGTTAAGCTGATGAGGAATTTAAGCCATTTGATGACACTGCACAGCATGTTAGAGTTTTCTGTCTGCTGAGGAGTGACTGTTAGGAAGCCATCCTACAGAGAGTTTAGGGTGAAAGTGGTGACATGACTTACAGTTCTGAGAGATCTGTATTTCTGTATCTTCCTAGGATGTGCAAAATATGTATGTGTAACTTTTGAAGTGCTGACATCAGTGGTGCCATTTGTTCCAGTGACTTGATAGTGGATAGATATGTTAGGTATACCTTTTTAAATAGCATACCTCTGTGTGGAGATTTATTCAGCAAGTCTTACAGATGATAGCTGTAGGCTAACTTAGCTTTCCTTGGTCCCACCTGTTTTTGAGCCCTGGTGTATCTGCAAATAAACTGGTCTTATGTTAGGTAGTTAAATCTTCCAGCATTTCATTCAGTGCCAGCTCTTGTTTCCCAGCTCAGATATTCTTTGGGTGATTCTTTCCATCAGACTTTATCAGGAGGTTTATAATGTAATTTAAAAAAAATTACTAGAGTACACCCTTTACATTTACTCACTCTTTATTATCTTGGCTTGCCAATTTTTCTCTTTTTTTTTTCTTTTCTTTTTTTAGTTTATTCTGAATCTCCCTTCCCCTTTAAATAGTTCTTCAAGCAGAAAATCGTATAATTTCTTAAGCTCCAGTCCTGCAAAGGCATGACTGTGATTAAGTGTATGTGTATGTTAGATACCAGTGTTTGTACTGGGACTAATTAAAGAAAGTAATTTCAATACACGGACAGAATTTCGGAGGAAGTCCGAACAAGATCGCCAATCCTGGAGGAACTCTAGACTTAGTAAAATATGGCTTGTCAGAAATTTTCCTTATTTGGATGTTCTACTTAACAGATAGAACAAAACCAGCAGATGCTCAAATGAGTCAATGTTCTTTAGTTTGAACTTTTTACTGATGTCTTGGGTGCATAAGCAATAGGAACTTTTTCATAAGAAGGATCAAGTTTCTGTCCATCATCTCTAGTAGCATCTGCAGGCATGCTTTTACCCAGTGATAATAAAGGTACTTAGCTGCTCTTTCACTGAATTGGATTACTTTGATTTTACAAAAGGATACTCTGAAGTAAGTCTATTGCACAACAATATTTACTGTATCTGATTGCTTGGATGCTTACATTGTTTTCAGTTTTTACTTGCTTTTCCATGCATGTCCTTTGTTAAAATCCGGTATAGGCAGAGTGGAGCATTCTGTTAGGAAAAGAATATCGGCAGTACGCATTTTTCTTGACCATAACACAGTAAGCCACGGTGGATGCAGATGAAGAAAGATTATTCATAGAAGAAACTATATGAAGGAAAAAGTAGTCATGTTCTTTCTGCTTTGTGGTTAGGGAAAGCTACTTCAGATTTTTGATCTTTCTGCACCATATAAAGTACAGCTAAAAAACCTTGTGCTTTTTTTTCAGTTTTCCTATAGCATACCAGTTGCAAAAGATGCAAAGGGTTCTTCTCTCACATACTTTAATTTGGTCTTAAACTGTTAGCTGCCCTAAATTTTTTTTTTAATTGATTTATCAGCTGAGTTTGTTCTCTCATTGTGGGAGTCTCTAAGAAAGGCCATTAGTCCAGTAACAAAGGAAGAGGGGATCTTGTATTTATTGCTGGTTAGAGGTGTTTACTTAGAGCACCAAAGAAATAAAAGGTGGTCCTTAGTGTCACTTTTCTTCTGGTAATGTCTAAGAGTTTACAACAGAAGAAGACTTATCTACTAGTATGAGGGGAGGGAGAGACCTGATTAAGTTTTCTATTTGGACATGCTTTGGGAAGTTGAGTGAAAAGTAAAAATCTACTGTCCAGTCCATATAGTTATACTAATTGTCTAGCAATTGTGATACTTGGATTTATGATTTCTATGTCTCTTTGCATAGTTTATTTTAAAAAAGACCAAAGTAAAAGATGGTGGACATGTTTCTTTGGTAAAACTCAACTGAAGTTGCATCCAAAATTCCCACAGAGTACATCCTTTAAAATATTCATAGTCTGTCTCATGTCTTGTCTAGTACCTTCCCATTTGGAAACAAATCCTGATGTTTTGTAAGCTTAATACAGAAAGTGATGTTCAGTTGTGTTAGTTGTAAAGCAGAAATAGTTGCCTTCCCCCCACCTTCTGTAATGCTCTTATCTCTCTTCCTTCTTTAGGCTACAGTGCCAAGCAAGAGCCATTGATACTGACAGCTGTGACAAAAGTGGATGAGGTACATGTGCCAGAGCAAAAACATTGGCCTGAAGAATTCCAGGTGCATACTGTTGAGATAAGGATTACATGTATTAAAGAGTGGCAGAAAATAAGAGATTAAGTAAGGGCTTCCTGTTGTTAAAAGGAATTGCTAGACAAGAATTATTTATTCAGGTTGTTATATTTAGATAGAGCCCACAGAATTCATTTTAGCTTCACAAAGCTAGTTTGTTACAGTAACCTGCTGTCTTGTTTCATCTGAATGATTCAACTTAATGTGTTTCCATTTCTAGGCAAAAATTGTTACAGTACTTCTTTATCAAGTCAGGACAGTCATTTATTGCTAGCCTTTTTAATATAATGGCCCAATTTTGGATTACTTGTGTTCTGCCTTGCCATAACCATCAGGTTTGTGGTTCTTGAGGGCAAGCCTGTCTCATCTATTCTTTTAGTTCTCTGCCCAATCTCTCTGATTCTTTTTATCAGTCTCCATTTCTTTTTCATGTTTTGTGCTCTTTGTGCTTCACATCTCAGTGTTTTTCTAAAGCAGAACATGAACACAATAGCATTCAATACCAGTTGATCCTTTAGATGCATAGTTCTTGTGCTTTCAGCAATAAAACAGAACAAATGTGGTACTTGTTAATTTAAAAGGGAACTGAAAATCCCTTATGCAGATATAAATTTGAGATGTTGCACAGTGGGCTAAGGCCATTTTTTTTTTCATTGGCTACGTAAGTCATCGTATGTTTAGATTACTTTTGTGATGCAGCATGGAAGTTAGGTTTCTGTATAAACATGACACTTTTTGTTTCATATGTAAAAAACCCTGAAATTTAAGTTATCCTCAAAATACTTGGGAAAAACACTTTGTTCAGTGGAAGGCTGGCAGATCTGTGTAGTGAGTTTTAATATATACCTTTACTTGTATAGAAGAGGATAGTAAGGTTTCTGGATCTAAAACTATTCCCTTTTGATTTCCTGACAACATGAAACACAGGACAGTAATATAAATCCTGGTTGCATGCAAAAGGAATTGTTTTGACAGATAAACGATCTGTCAGGCTGTTCAAGATTACGTTCTAACCCAGGGGATTTTGGAGAAGAGTACCAAACAGAAAAAGTAGAATGACATTTGTTTTCTTTATGAAAGATTGGGACAAAAAGTAAAACCATTCCTTTTTCATGTGTCACTTGGATGCTGTACCTAAAATCACAGAATCACAGAGTAGTTTGGGTTGGAAGGCACCTCTGAAGATCACCTGGCTCAGCCCTCCTGCCACAGGCAGGGACACCTTCCACTAGACCAGGCTGCTCAAAGCCCCGTCCACTGTGGCCTTGAACACTGCCAGGGAGTGGGCAACCTTTCCAGTGTCTCACTACCCTCATAGGAAAAGTCTTCTTACTTATATCTAATCTAAACCTACCCTCTGTCAGTTTAAAACCATTATCCATTGTCCTGTCACTACAGGCCCTGGTAAAAAGGTCTCTGTCTGTCTTTCTTATAAACCCCCTGTAAGCATTGAAAGGCCACAGTAAGGTCTCTCTGGAACCTTATCTTCTCCAGGCTGAATAAGCCCAGCTCTCTTGGCCTTTCTTCATAGGAGATGTGCTCCAGCCCTCTGGCCATTTTTGTAGCCCTCTGGACCTGCTCTAACAGGTCCATGTCTTCTCTCTACTAGGGACCCCAGAGCTGGACACAGCACTCCAGGTGGGTTCTCACCAGAGCAGAGCAGAGAGGCAGAATCAGCTCCCTCAACCTGCTGGCCACACTTCTTTTTTGTGCAGCCCAGAATACAGTTGACTTTCTGGACTGCAAGTGCACATTGCCAGCACATACCCAATTTTTCCTTCATCAGTATCCCCAAGTCCTTTCTCTGCAGGGATGCTCTCAGTCAGTATGTCCCTGTATTGATACTGGGAATTGCCAATTGTGTAAATCAATTAGCGGAAGGATGATTTGTCAGCAGAAATTTAAAATTTCCCATCACCTCTTAATTAAACAAGCTCCTTCTTCCTCTCTCCCCGCTAATTGTGAGGTAGAGGTAGTCGTGGTTCCTGTCTTAGTTTCAGAAGAATGAGATATATCAAACAGTTCATCCACTCTGGGGAGAAGAACACTACCTACTTCTCTTATTTGCACAGTAAGCGCTGATGCTCACTCTGAATTTTTTTCCACTTAATTTTGTTGCAGTTTAGATAAATGAGAACACTGAATGCTTACAGGTGCTAGAAAACAACACAGAACTTTAATCCTAAATTCTTCTTTCTCAGCCATCCCTAAACCCCATCTTCTCAGAGATTAGAGCTTAATTTTTGTTGAAATTCCTGTCCCAACCCCTCGGAAGCTTTCTTATTGGCTGTTGAAGCTTTGTGGGAATTCCACTATTTGGTCAAGGCATGTTTTGTCCACACAGACAAGACCCTGATGCTCTGCAGCGGACTTAAACTGTTGTATGGAAAAGCTCTTAATGCTGTCTGCTACTACATAGTGACTTAAGAATTGATCCAATGTGTACAGCAGCAGCACAGGAAGGAAACTGTGTGCTACTCCTTTAGTTAATACATAGCAATGTTTTAATTGTGAATCTGGGAGTCATTAGGGTGCACAGTTTGAGGATTTTTATACTTTAGAATTTGATCTGAAAACTAAATTCTTGCACTTTTGTTTTTTCTTTCCCCTCTGCATTTCATAAAGCCAACTGGAAAAGCTTTTTCTGGAAATCTGATCCGCCAACCCCTGGTTCATATGGAAAGACTTGAGCTTCTCAGGAATGTCTGCAGAGACACTGCATTGAGAAATCTCTCTCACACTGCAGTTTCCAAATTCGTCTTGGACCGAATATTTGTGTGTGACAAGCACAAGATCCTGTTTTGTCAGACTCCAAAAGTGGGCAACACTCAGTGGAAAAAAGTCTTGATCGTTTTAAATGGTATCTACTATGCTGTGGGGGTGTGGGTTTCTTTGAGGAGGAGGAAAGAACAGAATTGGTCCAACTGGGACAACAAAAATGGATTCTTTCTGCTTTTCTGTATACTGACTTAATTTCAGCCTTTCATTCTTCACAGTTGCTTCTAGTCCTTTTGAAACATCTCTTTTAAAGAAAATACACCTGTTCTTTCTGTGAAAATAAATATTACTTGGCTCAAAAGTGATTTGAGTAGTGGAAGAGTACCCATATGCATGCGGTAGGTAGACTTGTTATCCTGAAGGGGTAGCACTGATTTATAGAATTTGAAATGGGTAAATTACAAGGTATCACAATTCCCTAAGAAACAATAATAGAAAATTTCTGACTTGAGTCAACTGACTTTTAACTAGGGTTTTTTAGCCATGAAGAAAGCTGGCTAAAACTTGGCAGCTGCTATTGGTCTGTACTGCTGAAATCTTGTGTGTGTTATCAGTGAGCCGTCATAGGAGTTACAGAGATTCTGAGGTGCTTAAGGCAGTAGTTTGGTCAAAAAATGTATGTTATAAAAGACTAAAAGAAGTAAAAGAACTAGTAGATCATTTTTCAAATACACAAGGTGAACGCTGCCTGTCTATATGTAGCCTACCATCCTCTTGTAGTAGCCTGGTAATGCCAATAAAAATAACTCATTTCCTCAAGCTTTTCTACTGTACCACTACCTGCTCACATAAACTTAATATGAATATATTTAACATTATACACCCTTGTTTGACATGAGACCCTCTTGCTTGTCTGTGCACCAGGGCTGTGAATTTGCTACATACAACAAGGTCAGTTGAGGTCCTGTAGTTTTGCAGGTGGCATAACTCACCAAGATGTGGGTAAAACCTGAACATTCTAAACCCAGCTTTTTTGTTAGAAGCACCCTGTGGACAGCTAGCTCTGCATTTGTGTTTTTATGTTTTCTTTACTAGTTTGCTAGTGAACTAGTTTACTAGTTTGCTAGTGAACTAGTTTGCCCACTCATAAGGAAACAGTCACAAATTGGCAAAGGAATTGTGTCCCTCAGCAAAACTTCTGTAGCAAGGAGTATGCCTTTAAAAACTTCAAAGTTTAGTTTCAACTTTGCTATATGGATCGGAGCTTGAAATCCAGCAAAGATATACATGTACATAGGTATGTGCATGTGTCTTAAATGCCTATGAAAGCCACACTCCAAGAACATACTAAATATGAAACTATATGAGAGTGTTAGAAGTACCTGCTCTTATCAGAAATTAACAAAGATAACATGCAAAGAATAGCTCAGGACAGGCAGGGATGTATTGGCTGGGTTGAGTGGAGGTTAGCTCATGTCTTACCAGCAGGAAATGGGTTTACTTTGAGGTTCCTAGGTCTGACATGTTGGATCATGATAGCAAATTGTTTCCATATAAACACTGATCTTTTCTGACATGAGCTGCTAGTGTACTAGTGTCTGATGAAGCCTACCACTGCAGTTGACCTAGCATTCTCCTCTTTGTATAGTTTCAGCAGGCAGGACTGATACTTGAGGGGGGATACTTTATGTCCAGATACCTAAGTGGTATTTGGAGGTTCAGGATGGAGAAATACAGCTGTGGTACTGTGGGGGAGCTGACTTTGCTCCTGCTTGTACTCAGTCGCTGCTCTAGATGAATGCAAGGTTTCAGTTTCTGACGATGTCAAATCTGACATCTGTTGTCCACATGTAATTCGCCCAGAGTACCAAAACATATAATTAGAAAACTGAATTTAATAAAATACACCACCACAAAACAAAAAAATGAAACAAAAAAGGAAAACTGAGAAGCTGGGTGGTGTGGATTCTTCATTGCCATTCTGGAACAGAGAAGGCTGTAGAGGCTTTCACTTAAATAGCTTGTTTTGTGTCCCCCTGTTCTTGTTCCATGTTGGTACTCCAAAATGATGCGGTTATGTGAAGGCCTACTCCTAAAGCCAAAGGGGCCCACATGAAATACTTCTCAAAGTCATAAAAACTTTCAGGATCATAAAATAAATGCAGCAGAATTTAGTAACATTGTTTTACTTATCAGTTTATGTGCTTGCAGAAATGAGTATCTGAAGACTTTTTATTGTTAATTTTAGTGCCTTTTAATCTGTGTAGTATTGTATGATTCGAATTTCTGTTTCAGCACAGTATAGTTGTTAAGAGAACTTCATGAATCCTGACAGCAAAGTGCTTTTGTGTTGAAGCAGTTCCAAAAACAGCCCACAGCATTTATTTTTTGTTGGTGGTAGAAAGTCAGCCAGAAAGCTGGTTCCTTCTTTGGAGTTAATCCTCAAAGTCTTTCTCCATTTGTATGTGTGGGCAGAGGGAAAGAGAGTGGGGACACCAAAGTGGGGAGTTACAGGCTTAGACATAATTGCTGATTAAATTTGTGTAATACGCTTTTCTGAGTTTTGAGGCCATTTGGTCCTGAACCTTGATGTCACGTACCCTGAAGAATTTTAACAGTTTTCATCTTCTCAGTGAGATCTCTCATCATTTAACAGTTTTAAACATAGTAACTGTAAATGCTAAAAATACAGAAAAGATAAAGATAAAACAAAAAGCTGTCAGCCAAAGGCACGCATACTTGCTTGTACTCACTTTTTTCCCTTCGAATGATTCAGTTGCTCTCTCTTTTTGGTTTGTCTAGGAGCATTTTCTTCCATAGAAGAGATCCCAGAAAATATTGTACATGACCATGAGAAGAATGGGCTTCCACGCTTGTCCTCCTTCAGTGACTCTGAAATTAAAAAACGGTAAGAGGTGGCTTCCCAGGGATGTGGGAGGGGTTTAGAGTCAGTGGTGTAAAGGACAATTGAGAGTACTACGTCTGGAATTGGGGGTAATAGGGTTTCTGCTTCACCACCTGTATTATGGCACTGTTCTGTTACCCTCACAGATGTTTCTGTAACTACTTCCCTACTGGCTTTGAAGGAGAATACCAGTGTAGTTGGTAATACAGTTAGGCAACCATCTCCCTCTGGATGTAGGGTTTCTGTAGTTCAGTGCATACCTAGTTGTTACATAGTTGACGTGAAGAAGGGAAGGTTTAGTTGGAAGGTCCACTCTGATGCCTTGTATAGTAAATCTTAACTGCCTATATGTGAGATTGTCACTGCAGGCAGATTTACTTATTGGGATTGAACTGGATAGATTTAAAACGTGGGTGCTCCTTAGCCTGAGAGTATTGTCCATTCAGCTGAACCAATTTAACTTCCTGTTTGGGTGCTTCTGGTTCTTCTCAGAGCAGGAAAAATACTTCTCTGTTCTGGCTAGATTTTTGGCTGTGTCAGCTCTCAACTCTGCTAGAGCCTATGCTCTATAATCCCCGTAAGGGGTGGCAGCATGGAGTGAACAGGAAATAAGATGACAGCAGACAATTAGCTCGTGCTTGCATACTTTTTGTGTGTATTAAACCATTCTGAAGAGTCAGCCCCTTATACATGTGGTGTCAGCTATCAGTAGAGCTCAGTCCAAGGTTTGTTGCATTTGTGGTACAAATACAATTATTACAGCTGTATCTGTGGAAGTGGGGTTTCTTCATTGCCTTGATAGAGTGCAAGAGAAAATACAGTCATTGTGTTCTTGAGAACGTGGATCCATGCTCCCTTCCTGTGAACAGCTCTGCATAGAAAGTAACTGTTCACCTGGGGTATGAGCCTTAGCTAGAGTATTTGAAGTTGAATGCCATTATGATCTGGGTTGTTGCAGTCAGCCTACCACAGAAGTTGTGCTGGAGATGCATAACATGGGTTTAGTTGGGAATTCTGAAATTGTCAAGAGAATTTAGGTGTAGAGAGAGGGATGGTGTGGATCTGTTGATCTAGTCTGCTGACCTCTAGCCCTGCCTGAGAGGAGCAAGTCAGGAGAACCTGCAGACTGATTCAAGTGCCTGTTGAAGCTGGAAAGAGTCCATTCACTTACTTCAGAGAGGATTGGGCTCTGCATCTCCTTTCACAGCTATTTACTGAAATAAACTTTTGTTTTCAATTCACTCCTCTTACAGATAATCTCTGACTACAGAATACTGCATATTGCAGTATCACAATAAAATCTGAAGTTCTGTTGAAAACTGTCTCATGAAAATAATGTTCTCAGCCATTATTGAAAGCATAATAAAACATCAAATAACAGAATTTTTTCTTTTACTTAAGCTGTTATTTGTCTAACTACCTGCCAGTGAAAAATGCAGCCCTCTATGCATTTAGCCTCACCAACCCACTTTTTCCATGTCTTTGTGTATTTTGCTCCTTGAGCTTAGTCACATGGCATAAAAAATATCTTTGATTTGGAGCTTTTAGCCTCTTTTCAGCATCTTTTGTGTCCTTTTTATATGGATCGAGATAAACTAAGCTCCTTCAGTTTAAATAAAATGTAAAAAATAGGATGAACTATTTCCACATTGTACTGTATACAAAACCTGTTAGTATGAAAACAGAAATTGTATCTCTAGTCCTATTAATTATAATATTATTAGTATATGCAAATGGTGTGAGATTCACATTGCTGTGCCTGTAGTCAGAGTTTATGTACCCTTTGTAAGTCTTTGCTAAGCACTTTTTTCAATTTTTTTCCTTTTTTCCTTCCTCTGTTTAGACTGAATTTATACTTCAAGTTTTTTATTGTTAGAGATCCATTTGAAAGACTTATTTCTGCATTTAAAGACAAGTTTGTGCACAATCCTCGGTTTGAACCTTGGTACCGGCATGAAATTGCTCCTGGCATCATTCGTAAATACAGAAAGAATCGCACAGAGACCAAAGGGCTGCAGTTTGAGGATTTTGTGCGCTATCTGGGTGACCCTAATCATCGATGGTTAGATGTTCAGTTCGGTGACCACATAATTCATTGGGTAACATATGTGGAACTCTGCGCCCCCTGTGAAATCACGTACAGTGTGATTGGACACCATGAAACCCTGGAGGACGATGCTCCGTATATCTTGAAAGCAGCAGGCATAGACCATCTGGTATCATACCCCACGATTCCACCAGGCATAACAGTGTACAACAAAACAAAAGTAGAGCGGTATTTTTCCGGAATTAGCAAGAGAGACATAAGACGCCTCTACACGCGTTTTGAAGGCGATTTTAAACTCTTTGGTTATCGGGAGCCAGATTTCCTGCTTAACTGACACCTGGGATAAGCTCTGAAGAAGTGTCTCATGGATTAATCTAAACCTGCGTGAATACCAGCTGCAACACTGACAGAGCTGAGAATGACCATTTGTTTTCTAGCTTTTTGATGTTGCTCCATTTTTCAGTGAAATATCTGTCATATGAACAAGTAGGGGCTTATAGTTGTTGTTCACTGACCATGTTTTCAATATGTGACATTGCACTCTGTTAGGAATGATGTCTCTGTTATCTGAAATACAGAATTCCATTTCTCCCCTCTTTCCTCTAGGAATATAGAGGGAGAACAAATGGGCTATGATCTTCCCCTTCCTCTCCCATACAGAATACTATTTTTAAAATGTTGTGAGTATTTATAAAGATGGCAAGTTCACTGTAGGTTATCTCTGACATGTGGGTGAACTTCATGATTTGTGTTCATGAGAAAGACATCTAGTCTCCCATGAGCTTTGAAAATCAGACACCAGTACAGGACTAAAGATTGATTAAATGTTTGACAAGTCAAGTCATCTAGGCTGCTGTAATAACAGTAATGCTGATTTAATCCCATTTTTGTTTGTCACAAAATGAACCTAATTAGACAGAAGCTTTAGAGGTGTTAAAAAAGGAACTGGTTCCAGAGTCCAGTTGTCTTTGTATTTTTGTCAAGTGTTTACTGTACTTACTACTGGTCTGTTGAGCCTCAAAATTCTACTTTTGATTTTCAAAATATTGTTTAACTCATGGCTATGTATGTTATCTGAGAACACCAGATGCAAATGGAGCATAGAAGAAATATGAAACTGCTAGGGAAACACTAAGGAAAATTAATTTAATTGTGTTTGTGGGAGCACATATAGAAGTCACGAGATACTCTCTAAATATCACACAATTTAACTTGTTTTGTCTTCTAACAGTTAAGATTAATAAAGAAGCCACAGAAGTGGGATGGCATATAAAAGAGCTGCTAGTTACTTGGATTAATGATCTACCTTTTTCTTATATCCAGCTTTGCTCAATGTTCAGTACTTCAGAGAATAGAAAATTTACCCCCCTCTGAAAATTTATCTCTCTACTGCTAAAGGAGATAGGGTGAATCCCTGATTTTTCCAATGGTTTGCTGCCATGGTGTCCTGACTCAAAAAATGCCCAACATTTGTGTTACCTTTGGGGTGAGTTGGCAACTTGCCAGGAGAATGAATGTCACTAAAATTTGTGTACTCATTTTATGCATTAAAAAAAAGAAAACCGGAACTGAATGGATGCAGCCATCATATTTGCCTGTGCTTGCGTTGTGTCTCATAAAGAGCAGTCTTTTGTTGGAGTTCACCAGCAATAAAAATCAGTACGCTGCGACCTCATCCCACAGGCCATGGGAGAGAAAAGAGACCACATATCTGAAATACAGAAATTGCTTTGTCATAGTGAGCATGTGAACTGTATTTTTTAAATCTTAGTTCCAAAAGATTAATTTTCCAGATCAGTATAATGTTGCTGGCTAGAAATGCTAATGATGGCTGGTGCTATGGAATCTGCTCTTAAATCCAGCCACAGTATGTTTTTGATAGCTTCCTGTATCAACACAGGGAAGCATCTTGCACTTGTGAAAAAGGAAAGCTGTGCCAAGCTGACATGTGCTGCTACCCACAAAAAGGAAGCCCTGTTGTAGCTGGAAGTGATTTCAGAGATCTCTCAACAGACTGACTGAAGTAAGGAAGAATCATTAACTGGCATCTTTAGCAAAGTCCAAGGTGGCAAAGCTGGAAGGTGGGATTTTAATTTTTTCTTTTTTTTAAAGCAACAATTACAGCGCCCTAACTGGTTAGTTCTTAACCAATGATAAAAAGATGTTAACAGCTCCAGGTTCTTCTGTGGTTTTCTTAATGTGAGAACTTAGCAAAATGTACTGTTAAACGCAATTTGGAGCTAATGAGCTGATTGATTACCTCTCCACCAATTTAAAATGTAACAGTATGAATAATGTATAGTGAATTCAGGCCTTAAAGTTTAATTCTAATAAAGATAAAATAGAATTGTTTTCCTCTGAAAGTATAAGCTACTGATCACACAGAATGCCAATATATGTTTTTATTTTTCTTGGTAAATTAGTTATTGTATTGATTGCTTAAAAATTGCCAGGTGGAAAGTGCTATGTAAATATTAAGTAGTAGTATTTTTTTCTAATAGCTTTCTCTGTGTTGAGTTCTCTTGGGCATCTGACAGCAAATGTGGACAGAGCTATGGACTGACATAGGCAGAGATGTGTATTGCTCTCCCAGCTCTGTGCTCCCATGCTTTTCAGGCTGGGTCTGGAACACTCCTTATCATTTGTTAAGTTCAAACACAAAGTTTCTTTTTTCAGTGATACCCTCCTGAGCTATATTTTCTTTCTCTAGAAGTGTGGGTTTTTTCCTCAGGTGGCTGAAGTAATGACGATGTGGTTTTGACATGACTCTTGCAGAGACTCGGATAACATGAAAGCCCTCGGTTGAGGTATGGTGGGATTCTCTGTACCTCCTGTCTGGTGCGGGTAGGGTGGCCAGAGCATACAGTGTTGGGGAGGAGGCTCTTGCCCTGCTAGTTGGGATGAATTAAATGCTTGTGGTTTGTTTTAGCTTAATTGTACCCTATACAAGGTTTTTACAAATTTAGTCCCAGTAATGTGCATGAATGTCATTTGGCTGTTTGGATGTCATTTGCATACTGCTTTCAAACTGCAGGTGATATTTATGTCGTATTTGGGGAACCACTAGCCCAGGTTGTTATTTCTCTTTTCATATTGTTGTTACAGATTCCGAAAACAAACTTTCATCCTTACTTTGTTCATCTCTGTCTCTTTTTGTTGTCTCTCCTCCACAGCTTTTGAATCCTCTGCCCCATTTTAACCACATTTTACAGAGGAAAGTTGAGCTCTTAGGGATAGTGAATTGCAGTAATTTTGAAAATAGGAGAGGAAACATTCTTTGTACATCAGAGAGTCCATGCTGTATGTTAGCTGTAGGGAAAATATAGATAGGAAACTGAGATTCACTGCTTCTATTCATTGTGGAGCTCCTTGTTTCTCATGGACACCCTTCACTAGAGTCTGGCCTCTGATCTCAATTAATAAAGACAAAAATCATGAATTAAAGTGTATCCCATGGGTTTGTTACCTTCACATTCCTTATAAAATTAAGGATGCTTCTGGAGATCAGCTGACTGGGGTTTTTTTGAGGTCTGGGGTTGCTGGGTTTTTTTATTTCTTGTGGTGAAAATGGATCCAGAATTCACTTGCTTGTGAACTAATTTTAGGGGCAATGCCTGTCTCCTGTTCCTTTAACATAAGCATACAGTGCATTATCATTGGTGTGCTTTCTGATCACATGCCATGAAGATGTTTTTCTGCAGCTAAAATATATGTGTAATTTTTTATTTTGGGAACTGTTCCTTAAAAGAAGTAGCAATTCAAAAGTGGCCTGAAAGTACATATTTTTCACAGATAAATATGTTGTTTTCCTGTTTGTGCTTAGACACTGCCCTGTTTGTACTGAGGGTGACATCCCCCTGCTGCTATGGCTTGTCTCTGTCCTCAGATCAAGGAACCCATCAGACAGCTCTGGGTTTTGTGTACTTTTTTCTTGAGGTGTTAATAACTTTGGCTGGGAAAGCCACCTTTGATCTTATATGTGCTCCAGAAAGTTTGCTGAGAAAAGGGTGATTATTTAGGGATTTCTTAAGCTTATGTTCACAGATGAAAAAGGATGTCTTGTCAGTGTATCTGCCTGTATCTGATACCCCTTAATTGACAGAGAGAGGGTGAATGGCCTTTCTGCTTAATGGCCTTATCCTGATTTACACTGAGCCCCCATCCTATTATTACTGTGGTGTGAAAGGACCTGGAAGTAGGTGTAAATTCAACGTGTGCTTATTTTAAATGTGAGGGTTTAAAGGAAACTTGACACAGGAGTTGCACCCTGAAGATTTATCATGGCAAATCGCTTGTTACATGTTATCTGCAGAGGCTGGTGCAGTTTCTTTGTGGCCTGTGCTTGAGAAGAGTTATGCAATGTAGAAAGAGGCTTGTGGGTGGTGGAAAATTCCCTTTCAGCCTAAGTTAGATGTGCGTGTTCCTGGGCCACTGCTGTTGGGAAGGTTGTAGAAGGAAATGATCCTATTAGCAGCAAAGCCTGCAGTGCTCAGGCTGGCGAGCACAGAGTGCCTCCTTCCTGGAGGGGAGGAGTGAGTTCAGCTTGTGCTGATGGGTACAGCTGACTTTGGTGCTGCCTTGTATAAATCTCTGGGTTTGTGCTTTTAATGCAATTGTGTGCAGCTGAGCTGTCATCTTGCTTTCCTGCGTGTGGCAGTAGCCTGCGGTGCCTCATTTCATCACCACCAGAGCAGCTTTGAAAGGCCTGCAGCCTGTTTTGCTATGCAGTAGATATTTTCCTTATGAAGCAAGAAGCATTAGCCCTTCAGCTATGCAGCTGGTGGCAACAGGCTGGTGTAAGCACAGAAATGGTGCTGTTCAGGGCTAGCTACTGTAAAATCATCATTTTTCCCTTTTAATCCAGGCAGGAGTGAAAGGGGAAAAAAAGATGTGTGTTTGCTTTGAGTCATAAAAAGGAACCACAATTCCAGAGTGCTAGACCCAGGCAAGGCAATATCTAGGAGAGCAACTTTGAAAAAAAACATGGGCAGTGGCTTAAAAGCCCCCCAGAAATGCTTGAAGGAAAGTTGCTGAAGCTTTATGGGAGGTGTTAGAGGAGGAAGCATGCTCCCCCGTATGGTGTATGTGCATGCCAGAGGAGCAGCTGCCGATGCGACACCATGCTCATGGCAGGCTGAAAGCATGAAGTGTCTGCTGTGGGTGTCTGTTTGAAATCACAGAAAGAAAAAAAAAAAAAGTGGAAAGGAAGTAATGAAAAAATAATCCTGAAGGTTGCACACCTGGAAATGCAGTATGCACCCTAACTGCCAGAAATACATTGACTGCCCTGGATGTATACAAGCCATTTCTGAGCAGTTTGTGGGACAAAAGCAAATCTGCAAATAGGAGGGTGAATGTGGACTATAGGGCATCTGTACACGTGCTGGAAGTCATTTTAATACTGAGAAGCTAGCCAAGGCTCTCGGATCATGCCTAAGTAAATGGATCTCATCTAGAAAAAATGTAGCTATGCTGGAAGTGTACAAAGAGAAGAAAAAGCTCTCATGCAATAACTAGCGCTTTCAACAGTTATGGGTTACGCACCTACTGTGATTTAAGAAGTAGGGACATTTAGTCTTGTAGATTTTTTTTTTTTCCTCTTGTCGACGGCCTTTCTGTTTTACTCAGTTTTCTTTTCCATGTCCTGAGAGGTCTTTGGATGATACATCACAGTATGAGCTGTGTGATGGTTTGACTCTGGCTAAATGCCAGGTACCCACCAAGTTGCTCTCTCACTTCCCCCGCCTTTTCCCCTTGTTTCTCAACAGGGCAAAGAGGGGAAAGAAAATAAGATAGACCAACCCTTGTGGGTAAAACAAAAGCAGTTTTAATATAAGCAAAACGAGGCAAAGGTCTGCGCGCGGAAGCAAAAGCAAACAGATTTATTCTCTCCTTCCCATGAAGAGGCGCTGTCGGGCCTTCTCAGGAGCAGGGCTCCCATACGCGTAGTGGTTGCCTCGGAGGACCAAGGGTGACCCCACCCCCTTCCTCCTTTCTCCCAGCTTTATCCTGAGCAGACGTCCTATGGTCTGGAACATCCCTTTGGTCGGTTCGGGTCAGCTGTCCTGGCTGTGTCCCCTCCCAAGATCTTGCCCACCCCGTCCCACTGGGGGAAATGTCGGAAAGAGCCTTGGTGCTGTGTAAGCACTGCTCAGCAGTAGCCACAACACCAGGGTGCTGTCAACACCCTGCCAGCTCCCAGCATAAAACACAGCACCGTGAGGGCTGCTATAGGGGAAAACCAATTCCAGCTCAGCCAGACCCAGTACAGAGCTGTTACTCTACTCTTGTCAGCAGGGCGGAAGAGGCTGTAGGAAATAATAATTTTCCATAATTTTGAGGAACACAGAGAAAATTCAGGGAGTTGTCCATCACAAATGACTTGTGGTGACTGTGAGACATCAAGTTTGCATGAGATACTTAGATGTTTCATGGGTTGGTCAGGAATTCACTTACCGAAAAATTGCTGCTGTTCTCTATTTGGCATCTTTGTTCTTTTGTTTTGAATGGCTTTCAGTAAGGTTTTTACAGCAAGTAAAATTTGTAATCTGCCATACTGCAAAGCTTCGCTTTGTATCTACCTATTTTAATAATGTACTTTAAGTGTTTTGTAGAGTATGAGTTGACTCTTTGCACTTACTCTGTTTCCTCGTTTTGTGACTGTTCTTTGCAATGCTCTACCATTTATACTTGTGAAAAAGCAGTGAGCAAGAAGACTAATCAAACACTCTGGAGACAACAGGACTCTAAAGCAGACCTTTATTTGTATGACTCTGTCCACTTCACAAGCACTCCACACCTGGTACAGGTCAACCTTCCTCAGGGCCAGGAATGAGTGTTCCCCACAATTCTTTGGGCCTGGCTATCCAGCCAGTTTTTTACCCAGCAAAGCGTGTGCCCATCCAATCCACAAGCAGCCAATTTCACCAGGAGAATGCTGTGGGAAACAGTGTCAAAGGCCTTACTAAAGTCAAAGCTGACAACATCCACAGCACTGCCACGTGTAAGATGCTCCCCGTAATCTGAAGTTCCCATGCCAGCTCCCCAGCTGGGGAGATTTGTTGGCTGATGGGCACTGGCTGAGGGAGATGGGTGGTGAGCCAGCAGGGCCTCCTGCGAGGGCTGGGAAGGCTCTGAGGGTGGTGCGGGGCCGCTGTGGCTTAGCAGTGCGCAACTGCAGTCTGCTAGCTGGAGCAGAAGGGCGCAGTGCCTCTCTCCTCACTTCCACTGAGGTGGTGCTGGGGCCATGTCGTGTCCAGCAAATCCCAGGCATCCGAGCTCATCGGGGAATCGCAGCAAAAATAAACGGGCACCTACAAGGGCAGAGTCAGAAAGCGCTGGTGAAACCATGCGGGCTTTGTTGCCTGTTCTTTGGCAAGTCCGATGAAAAAGGGGTCGTTCCTGGCACTGGAGAGAGAATGCTTACTGGCAGTGACTCTGGTGTTGCTTTGGCCCCTTCTCAACACCTGCCATGCCCTCAGGGCACGTTAAGTTGACAGAGATGTTCAGTGATGCCTTGCCAGGCAGCAGGGCTCAGCAGGGAGCCCCCCGGGGAGCTGGGACAGGGTCCTTTCCAAAACCCGAGCAGCAGAAGCAGCAGCCCTCACTGTCCCATGCTAAAACGGCAGGTTGGCAGGCAAACCATGTTCTTTTGATTTTTTTTTCTTGTTGTGGTTCTTTTTACTTCCCTCAGTTTTCTCAGGTGAAACATGAGCTTTTTCAGAAGTGCCAGTATCTCGGTGTCTACAGCTCTTTGGAACAACTCCTTACTGCATCTTTGGGATTGAGGCAGCAGCAGCCATGCTAGGGTTGCCAGCTGCCATGAACAGGAAAGGGGCTTGGCTTCATTCTGTAGGTAGTGGGTCAAAGAGCTCAAAATTGTGAGTCTTGTGACCTTGCCAGGGTGTCTGCTCAGCAGAAAACTGCCAATGCTGGAGTGTTGTGTTTCTCCTGACCTACACGTTCTCCCAAGGGCAGGTGCGTGCTTCCTGTCTGGTGCCAGCCATCTCTGTGCACCTTGGAAAGATCTCCTATCCTCAGAGCCTTTGACAGATGTACAACAGCAAGAGTCTGCTACACACTTGGGCTCCTCGTTCATCTCACCTGCTCAGAGTTCCTCAGTTGCCCATCC